CTGCTGCAGGCAGGCCCTGCGGGGAGCCCAGGCAGCCTCCTCCCCCACACCTCCCGGCCCCTCCCCCGCTTGGGCTCCCGGGTCTCCCAGACCAGTTCGCATCTTTCCATTTTCCAAGGTGGGAAAAGAAAGGACCCAAGAAGAAAAGGGGCTTGCCCAAAGTTCCAGGGATATTAGACCAAAACCCAAATGTGCCATTCCCTGCCAGCACGTTCACCAGGCACGGGGGCATGAAGACAAGTAAGACACAGGTGTGCCTGAGGGAAATGACGGCCTGATGACGTGTGTGGGGGAGCAGGGTTGGGGGCAGGTGCTGACTCCAGCAGCCTCATAATAAGGGCTCTCATTGGTTGCGCCTGCGCTGACCACACCAGCCCCAGGCTTTATACCTTTTATGTTTGTTGCCAGTTAATCCTCACAACACCCTAGCGGGTGAGTATTGTTACCCTCCTATTATGTAGATGACAAAGCCCAGTGCAGTGATTTTCAACTTTTTATTTTAGCATCTGAATTCATTCTTCGAGGAAACTCTTCCATGAAACCCCAAACAAACAAATGAGGTAAAATCAGGGACAAGTCCCCTCCCTTAGCCTCTTCTTTTCAACCCTCCCCCCACAAGGGTCCTAGAGGGGCTCTCTCAGAGCCTGAGATCTCCCTCGGCACAGTTTAAAGACCGCTCACGTGATCCAGTTCTTGGAAGCTTCCAAGAGGCCTAGGTTACAGGCAGAATTTCCCAGTCCATTACTGCCCATTTTACAGATGGGCCCATCTGTAATGGAAGCCCAGACAGGAAAGCCCGTCGAGTGTACTGTGGGGATTACTGCCACAACGCTCACTCCAGTTGAAGGCTGAGGGGTCTCAGGCCTGTGAACATCCATGACAACTCTTTCTTAGGGAACAGAGGCCTTTTATTAACAGCTATAACATACCATCTCTTCCAAGCCATATTTTAAGGCCAAGTGTGCCGCAGGCTCTAATACACAGTTTTCACCTCCCTCCCACCCTGTCTCTCTTCCCCGCCTCCAGGTCCCCCCACCTCCAGGTCCCCCTCATCACTGACCTCAGGAGGAGAGTCTTGCTTTAGAGAAACCATCCCTGGGAGCCAAGTGGATGAGTGTGGCTTGAAGCTGACAGCTCTGAAGTTTACCTTAGGACTTCTCTATCCCTCTCGGCTTGTTTAATGCCATGCCTCATCATTCCATAATATTCACAGGACACTGGACGTTAGAAAGGGACTTCTTAAATGACCTGAAATAGGCCCTGGCTGGTGTGGTTCAGGTGGTTGGACATCATCCTGCAAACCAAAAGGTCACAGGTTCAATTCCCAGTCAGAGCACGTGCCTGGGTTGCAGGTTGGGTCCCCAGTTGGGGTGTGTGCAAGAGGCAACTGATCAATGTTTGTCTCCCTCTTGTTCTCCCTCCCTACCCCTCTCTCTGGAATCAATAAAAGAAAAACAATTAAATTCTCTGAGATAGGATTTTTGAATTCAGTAGCACCTTTGAGTGTGTAAGGGAATCGTGAACTTTCTTGTGTGTGTTAAGAGAGAGACTTGATCCTCAGGCAATTTAATGATTGCACCCCACAGGGTGGCCTCTGTGGAGATGGCTGCCACTCAGCCCTGTCCCTTCTCCACGGACCCCGCAGTTCCCACCCGCTTCTCCCTCCCGGCCCCCTCCCAGCTCCTTTTCTCCCAGCTGGCTTTGATCAGGATTCCTTTCTCCCCTCCCCCTCTTCCAGGTTCATCCCTCTTTCAGGGTCTGTCTGTGACTTTTGTCCTAAGGGTTTTAGTGCAGATCATCTAGGAAACGCGTCAGCTGGCAAAGATAACACGCAGGGGAAGCTCCTGGGGTCACAAACCTGTTCTAGCAGGTCCTGTCCCCATGTCCCTTCTTGGGTGAGTCTGAGTGGCCTCCTCTTGTGACCCAGAGGTCAGGGTGACCCAACATTGTTTCCTGAGATTCCAGTTCCAGGAACGGTTTTTCAGAGACCTGGTTTCCTGGTAGAAAGGGTGGGGAGATCCTGCCTGTAACCTGCCCCTGCCGGAGATGTCAAGTGTGTGGCAGCAACACCGACAGTTCCACAAAGTCCTGCGGCCGAGTCCTTGGACCTCTGTGTAACCTGAAACCTGTTGGAGCACCAAAAACCGTGTTTTGCACCCCATCTAAGAGACACTAGTTGGGGGGTTCTGGAAGATTCTCAGCCCCTGATTAGGGTTCCTCTTGGCCCTGGGATGGAGACCTCTCCTGGCTCCATTTAGGAAAAGCCAAATTAGGTTATTCTCTGAGAACCTTTAGGAGGTTTTTTTCCATCTCTACCAGGACATTGTGCACTACTTGTGCTTTCTTTGGAAGTAAGTAGAAATGAGTCAAGGGGGCCCCATTTATGGTCTGAACATTGCATTCTTGGGGTCCGGTCAAAGGACGACATCAGGCCACATGAGCCATTCTCAGAGCAAAAGATGGCACCGGGGTGTTTTGTATTTGGGAAGCAAGTTCTTTCTTATCGAGCCAGCTGTCACATCCTTGGACTTCTACAAATGTGCCCATACGTGCCAAAACTTACATTAATAACATGTGTCTCTGCTTCCAGAAATGGAGGCTTTTCCTGGTAGCTTAGCGAACTTCAGTTTTAGTTTATTTTTAATTACTTTAATTGTTTTAAATTAACAATTAATTTCACCCTTTTGACGGATTAGTTGGTCGTCTTCTCCTAGTTTTTGTTTCTCTCTACTCTGGAAAATCCCATCAGGCATTTCACAGATAAGCCCTGAGTTTTGTTTATTTGTTTGCATAGGGGGGTGTCTAAAAACATAAACCGCTATGAAGAAGGTGATTCTGATTGTATGAGTTTGCCAGGGCTGCCACAACAAAGTACCACAAACGGAGCGGCTTCAACAACAGAAATCTACTGTCTCGAAGTTCTAGAGGCTAGAAGTTTAAGCTCAAGGTATCAGTGGGGTTGGTTCCTTCCAAGGGCGCTGAGGATGTGTCCGAGCCTCTCCCCCAGCCTCTGGTGGTTTGCCGGCAATCTTCGGTGTTCCTTGGCTTGTGGAAGTGTCGCCCCGATCTCCGCCTTCGTCATCTTCACATGGTATTCTTCCTGCATGCATGTCTGTCCAAACTTCCTCTTTTCATAAGGACACCAGTCATGTTGGATCAGGGGCCCATCCTTCTGCACCATGACCTCATCTACACTTAACTAACTATATCAGCAAGGACCCTATTTCCAGGTAATGTCACATTCTTACTTGCAGTGTGATAACAGGTTACTGCTGTGCTGAGGGTTAGAACTTTAAATGTGAATTTGGAGAGGACCCAATTCTATACAGCTTCCCACAGCATTCGAGGAATGCCGGAGGGGCTGCCTCACTTTTTGGTTGTCAGCTGCAGAAAGGAGGCTGACAGCTCTGTGCCCTGTAGGTTGAAGGTCACGTGGAAACAGGCGCAAACACAGAGGGGCTAGCAGCTTCTACAGCAAGCTGACATTTCTTGCCAAGTGGAGAAGGGCCTAGAATCTCCTTAAGGCTGTCTGACTGGACCAACAGTGGCACGTAGAGAACTGGAATTGGGTTCATTTCAGTAAAAAACTTTCTGCTACGTCCGCAGCCCTGGGTTGGGCCCTGAGGAGAGTGGGGTGAAGCCGTGCAGAAGCCGAGGGAGATGGATGTGCAAGCCAAGTGGACAGGTGCGGACCCAGTGCTGTGGCCAGGGTGAGCTTGGCTTAGTGAGGCCACACTAAGGCTGCACAGAGGAGGTGACGTGTGAGCGGGGCTTGTCGTGTTATCAGACATCTCCAGCCAAGCTGAAGGATAGAAGGGCGCTAAGGCCTCGTGCGTGTCCCAGTTTAGGCCAGAGGCAGTGTGGTGTAGTGGGGAGCACCTGGGGTCCAATGACAGGGGTCCTGAGTCAAGTCCTAGGCCATCCCTCAGTTTCCTCATTGATAAAATGGCTTTAGTTAAAAGACTTGACTTCCAGGGCGTGACGTCAGCATCAAATGAGTTCACAGGTGTTAAAACATCATGGTTATGGAAAGTAGCAGAAACAGGATCCAAACATAGGTGTTATGTCTCATCTATGCCATGGGAAACGAGCAGTAGCTCCTCTTGCAAAGGAAGGCAGCCTGGGACAGGGCGGATCTGGACACCGGTCTTCCTGGACACTGCTCCCTCCCTACCCCCCAACTCCCTGCTGGCCAATCATGTCTCCCACCAAGCCAGCTCCCTCAGGGGTGAAATGAAGGGTCTGGATGAAGCGATCACCTCCTGGCCAGGATTTAGGGGATTCTATGCAAAAGATGTCGGAACCCAGTGGCTAGAGCCATGCGGGCTCGGAGAGCCTGCTGACCTGGGGTCCAATGGTGGTTCTGCCACTGCTTGGTATTGTGATTTCTGTGAATCTTTCAGCCTCTCTAAACTCAGTGTCCCCGTCCGCAAAATGGAGATAACAGCTAATACCCACCTCAGAGATTACATTAGGAACTCTTCATAAATTGCTTAACACACAGCTTAACACATGGTTAACATTACCGTTGGCTGCTTTTGTAAGGATTGAATGAGATGTTGTAGGTGAAGGGCCTGCAGGAAGCAGAGGCTCTGTTAAACATCGATACCACCCCCCCCGCCACCTTTAAGAACAGTTCTGGCAGAGTTTCCAGCATTCGTGTTTTCCATTAGGGGGTGGGGTGAAGGGTGGAGGATTGTACAGAAAAGGATTTAGACTACTTGAAGGATGAAATAGTTCTCAGGTACTCATAAGCCATTTATAATCACCTGTTACTCATATTTAATGGTCATGCCAATGCAATCAATTCCGGTTCATTAAATCACATACCCTCAGTTTTATTATGGAATTAGTCCAGTTTAGTGCAGTATTCCACTATAGTAATTGCTCTCCTGACGATTCATAAAACACGCTCAGGCTGCTATGTGAATGACAAGCCTTTATTTTCTCTGAAAGCAAATCCAAAAAGGGCCTTCCTAAGATCTTTCTCTTTCTGATAGGTGTTAGTTCAGCACAGAAACTCAGAAGACAAAGACAAGTTCTACTACAATGTCGTACAGACGGGAACTAGAGAAATACCGCGACCTGGATGAAGATGAAATCCTCGGAGCCCTGACAGAGGAAGAGCTCAGGACTCTGGAAAATGAGCTGGATGAGCTCGACCCTGATGTGAGTAGGCACTAAAGGGGACCACGTTGTCACAGGTACAGGGACATCAGCCATGGCCTCCTGGGGAAGGGACAGGTGCAGACATCCTGAAGCTATCACTTCTGCTTTCCTTCTATGGCATTCACATTGGTTGCTTTTTCAGGGGTGTGGGGTGTGTGTGTGTGAGAGAGAGACAGAGGGAGAGAGAGAGAGAGAGAGAGAGAGAAAGAGAGAGAGAGATGTATTTGTCAGGGTTCTTTAACAGAACCAATGGGATGTATATACATATAGAAAGAGATTTATTAAAAGAAATTGGCTCACATGATTATGGAGGCTGACAAGTCCCAAGGTCTGCAGTTGACAGGCTGGAGATCCAGGCGAGTAGATGGCATAGTTTTAGTCCAAAGGCTGGCAGGCTTGAGACCCAGGGATAGAAATTCAATACATCTTATGTTACATGATAGGAGACTGGCAGGGGGTGGGGGGCAAAACCAAAGATGTGTGCTTAACACACGCACACCTGAAAACATGTTCATAACAAAATAAGAAGGAAAGACTCATGATAATTATAGTCCTTGTTTCTCTAACAGGCCACATGGTTATAGCTTGTATTTATATTTACCATCTTCCACTACCTATTCCATATCCCCTTTGCCTTTGGCAAGCACCTACCTGCTCATGGTACGTTCCCTGGTTGGATGACCAAACCTTCATTCCTGAAGGGTCTCGGCCACTAGTGGTCCTGCCTGGATTGGGTTGTTGCAGGTTTTCATTGACTTTAATCTCAGGGCACAGTAATACAATGAAAGCCCTAAGCACTCTCCAATTGTAGACGTATGCTCCTTACCTCCAGTTTCCCCTTGGTACTCAGAATCAGTCACCCCAGCCACACAGCAACTCCTTCTCTGCCTGTTGTTCAGAGGTGTGAGGAGCCCCACACGGCTGGGTGTGGGTCTTAACTTCCAGACCAATGGAATCATTGTTATGTCTCTTGGAGGAAGCATTTCTCCATTTGAAACTAAGACCACTAGGCCAGCAGAGCATGAGGTCACAGGAACAGGAAGCGAAACTTTGTCACGAGTCTCTAGGGGTAATAATGAGTGGTCCCATTCCCATGTCTACCCTTGATTCCTGGATCTGTGAATCCCAGCTGTGGGAGAAGCAGCACCTTATGTGGACACTGGCTCAGAGCACATGCAGACTCCGAGGAACCCTGCAAGGTGGTGCCTGCTAGCTAGCTCTGTTGCTGAGTCTGCGAAAGCCCGGTCCACCATTCTACCCAGGAAGCTGCTTCAGGATGGTACGGAACATGTGTCACAGAATGAATTAACTAAGAAATAGAGGACTAGAAGAGCCTCTTTCACTTGTCTGATGTTTTTATCATTGCATTTCATAGTTGGCACAATTAAGAAGTGTGTTTAATGCTCAGAATTTGCCTCTGCTGTTAGGACCACATCATCAGAATGTGGGAGGCTCTCTGGTCATGTCTGTGGTTTGCTCAGGCGCCATGGAGCTTTGAGCAGGGTTAGGGAGGGATTCCCAGGTGGCCTACTAGACAGGTAGGAGCCTTCGTCCCCGTCTCTGTCTCAGGTACACAGTTCAATGCCCCAGAAAGGAGGAGGTAGATAAAGAATGTTACTGCATTTAGTGAATTTTCCATTTGATATATCTTCAAATTAAAAATGGAACATTTCATGCCTTTTAGAAAAACTTGTCATTGTTCAACTCTAGTTTAACAGTGATCCGTAAAAGAAGAACACTTCTACTGGGTTGGCCAAAAAGTCCATTACGTTTTTTTCTGTAAAATAAAAGACATATTTTTCATTTTCATCAACAACTTTATTGATTTGGATATTTTGAGTACGTTGGCTGTCTCCCACTATTGGCTTCTATTGGGACGAGGTCAGGGTGCTGCTAAACATCTTTCAATGCATAAGACAGCCCCGCAGCAAAGAATTATTTGGTCAAAATATTGATAGTACCAAGAAACTTTGCAAACTTTTGGCATGTTCGATCATTCACAGCACCTTCTCCACATACTGCACAAGTCTTTTTTTTGCATTTCAGTTGCATTTTTACCTTTCTTGAAATAATAAAGCCTAATGCACCAAAAATGTTGCTTATCTTCTTCCATCTTCAATATTAAAATGGTTGCACAAAAACTCACCAATTTTGATAAGTTTTCTTAAAGTGCACGCTGACATGACAGCTGCCACAATACAATCTAACAAGATTGTTTCTAATGAAGTTAAAGACAACTAAGCACTACTAGAGCCATTTTATGGAAAAAACTAAATGAACTTCTTGGCCAATCCGTTATATTATTTCACTAACCCTCAAGTAATCACCGCTGGTGTAGAAACGTGTAGGTTAGCAGGAAACATGCAGGACTAGAGGTTAGATGTCCCAGTTCCAGCCCTGGCCCTCTCTGCTACATTCATCGTGGCCTTGAACCAGTTGCTGTCCTCGCCTAGGCCTTAGTGTCACCAGGGCCAAGATTCCATGAGCTCATAACCTGGTCTTATTTCCAGATTGGATTACGTGGCTTCATTCTAGATAGCCCAGAATCCTTGTCTGAGGACCCTGGGGCCTAGGCCCCATAGAATGGTAAGCTCCTCCAGCAGCACAGTCACCTTGCTGTTTACCACGCCCGCTGCCCAGCCATAAGGAGATGCTTCCAGCGATGAGGCTGCTCCAGCCCATGAGAAGGCAGCGTTGGCAGGAGAGCCTTGGGCCCCCTCCCCTTCCTCTGTACCATGCTCGCCGTTAGCCTGGGTTGCGTCAAAAACTAGCGATGTGGACAAGAAACAATTAAGCTTCCAGCTTTATTGCTATAAAATTATTCTGTTTTAATAATTCTATCCTAGATCACTGCTGCAAGAATGAACAGCTTTAAAAAGTGAGAACAAAAAGGGGATGGGCTACTTGTAGTCAACTCAGTCAACGTGGCTCAATTACCTGCCAGGCGCCAGGCCCTGTGCTGGCTGCCTACAGGGGAGCCTGGGGCGGGTTCCATCCTGCAGGCGCTCAGCCCAGAGCGCAGCAGATGGAATATAACCTATGTTCTAAATGGGAGCAGGCGGGAGCTCCAGGAGAGGGTTAATTCTTACTGGTGGGAGGCTTCACAGAACAGGTGGAATTGGAAGTGGGCCCTGGACTTTTCTAAGACAAGAATAAAACAAAGAATTCTAGGCCACGTGAAGGCCACAAGCACAGGGTCTTGTACAGAAGGTAATGGGGGACAGGGAGTCTCAATGTGGTTTCTGTGGAGGGTTAGATGAGCCTGGAAGGGGGTTTGCACTAGATAAAGCGGGGAGAGGGTTACTGAACAGTTTGGGTTTTCTCAGGGGGCCTGGGGAATCTCTGAGGGGCAACGACTTGGTGGGCTTGCTGTCTGAGGACAGAGGGACTGGCCGAGGTGCCAGGGAGGTGGGTGAGGGTAGAAGGGGCTCACGTCCGAGCCCCTGTTGCCCTGTGCAGCCTGTGGTGGGAGGGTTCTTTTCTGATGAGGAGACAGGGCTCCTGCCCCTCTCCACACCCCTCCCGGCGCATAGCAGACTCTTCGCTGTTCCCAGGGCGAAGGTCAGACCCCCACGGCCCTGTAGGCCTGCAGCCTCTGGCCTTTGGGGCTGTTGTTGTCCTGAGCCACTGGATGAGACTGAGATTAGATTAGGCTGTGACTGCAAATCGGGCAGATGACGGGCAGATGGCGACAAGGGTCAGAGGCCAACATCAGACCTGGGAGTGCGGAGGGGGCAGGTGGACAAGCCCTCTCAGGACCCAGCGGAAAGCCCCCAAGGACTGCTTGATTTCCAGCTCGGAGCTCTGTTTCACTTCTTAACTGGCAAAGAGCTCCCGCTGTGCCCCCGCCCCAACTATCAGGCATCCAGCCCCAGCAGCACATGCCCAGGGCCTCCGTACCTCTCACACAGCCAGCTCCCCTGAGCCCCTGCCCAGGGGGTTAACAGGAAGGGATACCTGCATCCACTGGAGGGATGGAGAACCTGGAGCTCTGTGAGCTGACAACGCACCCAGTGTCCCCAGGCCAGGCGTGGAGACTCAGATTTCTAACAGGCTCCCAAATGCCTGTGCCTCCCGCTCTGGAGGGAGGAAGGTAATTGTGTACGTGGATTTGGGAGCAGGGCTGGGCAACCTGAGACCTGCCCTTCTCACACCACTGTGGTTTCGAAATGAACATTTTCAAAGACCCCTTTCTCTCTGAGTTCAAGGAAAAGAAAAGAGAAATCAGAGAGAGGATAGGAGATTACGGAGGCCAGTGGGTTTTTGTCCCAGCCACACAATTGGCCCCTTCACTGAGATGTCTCTGTTACCTGATTTGCAAGTCAGTAGGCAAGTTTTGAAAAGATCAAGTGGGCCTCCCATCTTTCTGAGAGCACAAACATTCCAGCTCACTTTTCACCCGCCCTTGGCCCACGTTCCAAAATCACAGCACAGGGAGAGGCCAAAGGTATGCGGCCCATGAGAGGCTTTGGAGCCGGCTGGCCTGGATGGGCACAGGGACCAGCAGGTGTCCAGCCCTCCAACTTGCAGAGCAGGAACTGAGCCCAGGGAGGGGAAGGAAGTAGCTCTAGGTCACACGCCAAACAGAACTGGAGCGGAACCCACGTCCGCTGTCCTCTCTGTTATACCCTATGAGTCTATAGCCTCCGGTTTTAATTTTTGTTTCAAAAGTGCTTATATGGCACTTGCTAAGAATTCCCATCTTAGCCACACCTCTGTAACATTTCATGGGAGTCTCCAGGAACACAGTGTGAGCCATAGATGTGCTCTGGGTGTGCAGCTGGGGAGGGTGCTGCATGTAAAATCGCCTTCCTTTCTTCCTGGACACACCCTGAGATGCAGGTGTTCATGTTCACTTCTGGTTTTGCTTCCGGCTCGGGCCCATGCTGTACCCTCTGGGCGTCTGTTCTCCCATCTGCAAAGGGGATACAGCGTGCCGAGGTGCCCACGAATGCCCCCTCCAGCTCTCAGAAGCTGGGCTTTTTTCTTTTACTTTTAAA